CAGAAGCACCCTGGAAAGGTTGGGCATTGGATATAAAGCACTGAAACAGGATGCACAGGATGGCAGTTATGGCACACCATGAAAACAAGGTACTGCATATGAGAAACATGGGCCATGTCAGACAGTAGGAATTTTCTACAGTTACTGTGAAACAGAAAGCAAATCTGGTTATTCACTTGCCATACTGCAAAACAGAGAGCTATAGCAGCAGTTCCAGTGAATTTAAAGGTGCAGGGGGAAACATAGGCTCACTCAAAGCAATTTCCTCATACCAATTACCCTGGGAACAACATTTAAACAATCACAAACTTCTTCCTTTTCACAGAGGGCAGAGGATTGGATGGACAGACTTAATTGCCCAATTCACTGGTTATTTAGTATCAAGAAAAGCTGGGGTATTGACCTGGTGTCTAAAGAAAATTAAGTTTATTTAGCAGCACTGCTTGTCTGCTTGCCCCCTTTACTAAGAATTACTAAGAATTTACTTACTCATCACTAAGAATCTTTTGAATTTTTAGCCACTTGCACACAAATTTAACAAAATCTCAACATTTTATGAGATTTGGTGGCTTTCACAACGGCACACAGAAACAGCCTCAAACTGTCGTACATTTAGCTACATCTTTAGAAAAATCTGAGCACTTCAGTGACCTGTTAAAAGCAAGCAAGGAGTTACGGGGTTTAATTTTGCAATAGGGAGTCTCGATACATGTTTAAGTTGACAAAGTCCTTAGTAGAGCTGCAGGGAAAAGAAAAGCTGCAGCACCAGCAAGCCTAGGAAACGGGATTAGTTTTGCAGTCCAGTGCTGCAGGAGGTTGCTACTGGGGGCAAAGGACACCAAATGCACATTTTTCACTTAAAGACATTCTTTATTCAATCTTTTTTATATACAATATTATTTTTAATCTGTAAAAAGTACATATGCAGGATTCCAGACCAGAGGCAGAAAATTTCCACATCAGAAGATAGACTTTTGCCCTTTTATTATTTTGGAGGAAAAATAATCTGTCAGTTTTAGACAACGCAAGAATAAAGGCAGAATGCAAATCCAACTTCCACCAAGCGATTAGGATTAAAGGCAACAATTCACCGTAACAAGTCAGGCTGTCTCCTTCGACTTTGGTGGTTCCCAACTTTTCTGGGCAATTACAGAACAGTTTGTTAGAAGGGGCTGACAGACAAAGCAGCTAGTGCTTATCATCTCTGCTACAGTTGTACGCACATAACTTGCAAAACAACTTGGTTTTCCTCTTTATATGGCGACTCAAACTCCTGAGTCAGACGACTGTTTCTCAAAATTCAAGGAGCAAAAGAGGGATGTCTTATCTGGGTGAACAGATCTCCGAACTACTATGTGGATCAAGAGCTTGCTTTCATTTTTCTCTGGTAACAAGAAGCCTGTTTATTATTTGTCCCCTTAAAAACCTGGACTAGACTTATGTACATAACAGGCTCAATTTGCTAAAAGCCTGTCACTACAGCCCTGAGATGTAAACTGCTTCACCATTTTCTGTGGATGCCAGGTTATATTGTTGGTCCTTTAATGTTAATGCTATTAACCACTTCTCCATTCAAACTAGGGAGAGTCACATTTTGAAGGTCTGTAATATTATTTCCTCAGGGATAGAAGAGAGGATCATAAAGGAAGCCCAACAGGGTTTTGCTGTAAATCAATACAGGGCAGACCTTTAGTCTTACAGGATGGCACTACAAGGAGTGTGTAATTGTTCTCACTTTTCAGAACTAAGATACTCAACATTCAAATCTTGTAAAACACTGTGTGAGAATATGTCAGTGTTTGGGAGGTAGAAGACAGTCATCCACAAATTTGGAGTAGGGAGCTAAAGGAGCCTCAAAGGTGTGACTGGCACAGGGAAATACCTGCTTTCCCCTTTACTCCAGGGTACTTACTATTTTCCATACTTTCCTTAAGCATTCAGTTTTAAGGACCATATTGTGCAGCAATATGAACACTCAGAATATCATTCAAGGGTTTTTTTTTTTAGGGGACAAAGCTAAGAGGTTGACTTCTTGACTGCAGGACACACGCAGCTCCAGGGTGGTCAATGGAAGCTGCAGAAATCTGGCTTCTTTGAAAAGTCAAGCTGTAGGTGTTAGAAAAAAACACGCTGCTAGCAGATCCTGCCCAATAGGCAAGCTTGAGGCTTGGATAAGGAAAAGAACTGAACATCCTTGTTTTGACTGCATGCAAATAGGAAATAGACAATTCTGGGATTGCCAGGCTCTTGCCCAAATCCAGTGTGCCAAAAATGTACGTGATTTTCTGTTCTTTAGTTCATCCTGTAAGAGCAGAGGGTATTGTAGAAATTACTAAAATGGGACAGCTACCTAAAGAAAATGAGGATTGTTTTGTTAGAGAATACAGTGCAAGACTCGGAAACAACTAGGAGTAAAAAGTCATTTTGTGCTTAAATTTACACTCTCTCTTCATGAAGTACGTAAGACAGCAGCAACAGAATGAAAATGGCAATATTCTACTGTACCTTATGTACCCAGAGGGAAAACAGTCTCACCTTTGGGCTGCACGTAACACCATTCTGCAGAGTAGAACCTACTTCTCTGTGAAGGACTTGGTTGGAATGAGGGCAAGTCACTTCAGTCAGAAGTTTCAATATCCGTGGTGCTTGGTTATTATGTGCTCACCTCGCTCAGAACCCACTACCTCCAAACTCAGCTTGCTCTAGGAAATCTCAGAATGGAGAGCTTCATGAATGACACAGCAATTAGTCCATAAAAATGCATTTTTTTTTTATAGACTATGCACATCAGTAGCTTCTGGAGGAAAAGGATAGTCTGTATTTAAAGAGTGCTAGAGTAGAAACTGACAACCGTTGGGGTAACTGGAAAATGAGAAACAAGTGTCCTTTATTTGGTACCCGCTGCTTGTCTACACAAAGAAGAAATATCAGTACTGTACATCTGCTTTGAGAAAAATACCATCCAATAACATGAAATAGCTTAAGTCCTCAACTCAAGTGCTCTTGTGGCAGTGAGTTAACCCACTGGGATTCATGGAGGAATTAATCTGAAGGGTCGCTCTTCAATTCACAAGAGGGAGATGAAGCAAACAATGATAAGAAGTTTGCTGTTTCTGGGACTCCAGAATTTTGTCCTTGACCTTCCTCTGAACAGACTGGCAGCCATTCTACATCTGCATTTATCAGAAGGTGTATGAGGATGGCTGTATGGGGTGGAAAGTGCCTTTTTCTTTTTTATTTTTTTATATCTTTTTCTAAACAGAGGAGTGTGGTTTGCCTCTTTCTCCTTTGTGCCCAGAAAGACTTAGGAGAACAAGGCAATTGAGTGCAGTTTTAAACTAATAACAGCTCTCATGGGATGGGAAAAACTCAATTTGAAGACAAAACATATCTGAACTTTGGAAAATGGAAAATTACTATCTCTTCAGTAAGTCACTGAATACTAATTAGGAAAATAAATTAATGTGGGACCAGTAAGAAGAATCCATTTATTAAGCTACTTCTCATTTTAAATAAACAATTATTTGAATCAGTATTATTTACTACACCAATTACTTCATTGGTTCTCAAATTATTTTTAAGATACTGCTGCAAATTACAGTAACTAAGTAACAGCTATTAAGGTAAAAAAATTGAGATTGGAGTTTTTTCCAAGCTCTATGTCTTCCTCCTTTTAAACTAAGGTAACTGTCTGGAAAAAAGCATCTGATAGCATATTTTCTTGGATCATGTGAGGATTTCTACGTCTAAGTGTCAAAGACAAGTGAAGGAAAATTTTATGGGGGAAATTCCACTGTAATGTACAGTCAGATATATTATAATATGATGGAGAGAAAATATTTTATATATAAAACTTCATATATAAACATTTATAAGGGGGAGAAATAGCACTTGCTCCCTTTAGATCTGATGCCGTACTGCTGTAGCTCACTGAAGAGTTCTTCCACTCACTTTAGTATGAAAACAAAATCAAGACTTCTTAAAGACACAATCTGTGCACTAATCAGGAGGGAAAGGAGCGCCTCACAGCTTTTTTTTCAGCAAGGGTCCAGTCACCATGGCAAAAGGATTTGAGAGCTATAAAGGAGAATGCGAAGAATAATTTGAGCTGTAAGGATTCTGGAACAACAGAACAGAAAAAAAAAAAAAAAATTCAGATATACCTGAAAAGACAAAACACGTTTTAGCAAATAAGTGAAGACTGAAGCAGACTCCATTTAAGTAACACTGTCCATACCAGCCTAGGAGTACTCAAAAAAACCCCCCATGCAGGTAACAGCATCTCATTTCTCACAAACCAATGGAAGAAGAGACTCTTCAGTTTCTTTCCATTCATATGTAAGAGATGGTATGTTGTTTCCAAATAAGATCATGTTGTCTTTGTACTGGAGCACCCGGAAGAAAAGGAGTTTTGTAAACAGGCAGTTTTGGGCTTCTGTCATACAGAGAAAATAAGTCAGAATTTCAAACCTACAAAGAAGGTTCTGTGAATAGTATCCAAACAATGAAATTAACTTCTAGAAAAAATACAGATTGTATGGAAAAATATAAAGCAACAAACTCCTGTTGCTTAGCTCAAGGGGAGCATTTAAAGTGCCATATACTATATCCTGCTCTATAAATAATGAGAGACTATTTTTCTCATGTTGTCATCTCTGGTTTTTTAGCTAAAAGAACCAGGACTAATAAAAGAATGGGGATTTTTCCACGTGACAGGATTTATGAGAAAGGGAAAGTTAAACTCCTTCTTACCCCCTGCGATATGCTCCAGAGTCTGTGACTACAGCTTACCAAATGAACTAAGCCCATGTCGCTGACAGTGAACTACAAAGCTTACCAATTGCTTTTTTGGATGTAAGCATACAACACAGATATTTCAGCATTATTTTGAAAAGGGAAAATGAGGAGGGAATAGTTTTTATTGTTGAGTTTTAATAGCTTGGAGGCTCTAAGAATGGCTGCCAGTCTGGAAAAACTAATGCTCCTTAGAAATTTCAGAGAGGTACAGAAAAAAATTCAAATCCTGATGCTGCTGGTACAGTGATGTTGCTTTTTGTTGTTGCTTTGTTCGTGCCATTGTCAAACAAACAAAACAAACAAAAAAAAAGAAAAATAAAATCTAGGTATTTGGAACCCACCCGATCTGAAGAGGTGACTGGTGTGTTGCTCCTTGCAACAGTCAACAGCACCAGCAGCAAGTTCCTCTCCCTGGATGGGAAAGCCTCTTCTTCCTTATGCTGCTGTGTTTATATTGAACAGCAGATTCCATGTCTTGTTAGGGTTCAAAATATCATGAAGTCTCTGTCCTGCAAATACCACACTAACATGTTTTGGTCATGTATAAAACAGAACTTGTTTTTCAGTTTTAACTTATCTCTGTATTGAAGAGCTTTGTTTCTCACAACGGTACTTGCTTGACTCAGAGGTCCAGTTTTATCAAGTGTCTGTCTCCTCTCCTGCTTAAAGTCTGAAGTGGTCCATGTAAACAAAACAGAGCTGAAAACAGTCTCTCTTTCTCTTCACAGAGCTGTTTTTATCGATATGCAGGATTTCCTGACAGTGTAGTATTGGCTAAATGTAGAACAGGCAGAGGATGAGCTTCTGTGTTAAAAACCCAGTTGTCTAATGGTAGAAGGTCATCATTGGAGAAAAGCAGATACAAATACCTAGATATGAAGACAGAGAGGAAAAATGGTGGGCATTAAAGCAGAGCAACAGACAGGGAGGGGCAACACAGCAGCTTCAGGCACCACCAGTCAGCAGCTAAAGCTATAAACAAGGTACTTGCTTTCAGTCTTTGTATAGCACTTGCACAACCTTCACTATTATAATGATCTGAAGAGTAATTTTTATCATGATCAAGCCCTTCAATTAAACGTTGTTATAAAGACAGCATTTTAATCTTTCCAAGTAACTTTTGTTTTTCAAGACTCCTTTCAAAGCCTTGTAATGTAAAACAAACATCAAGACACCAAGCACAAGGATTCTGGGGACAGGGGAGCAGAGGAGAAGTTGGCAAAAATCTCTTCTTAATGGAGTAAACCCACTTGGAAATGACTAATCCTCTTTAGTCCAAATCAAAGATTTCAAGGAAGCACAAGAGAAACCACTAAGCAATGCCAGATATCTGACTTGTCATCACCATGCTGTAAGCTTGTTCAGCCTCTGGTGGGAGGAAATGGGCCAATATATTGCGCAGAAGGGATTAATAAATGTTGTATATTTAAAACAATGCAGAGCAAATGAAGCATGTAACAAAATTAAGGGCTTTGGATGTAGAATCATAGAATGGTTTGGACCGGAAGTCCAAAGATCATCAAGTTCCAACCCCCCTGCCATGGGCAGGGAAACCTTCCTCTAGCCCAGGTTGCTCAAAGCCTCATCCAGCCTGGCCTTGAACCCCTCCAGGGATGGGGCATCCACAGCTTCTCTGGGAAACCTGCTCCCGTGCCTCACCAACCTCATAGTAAAAAATTTATTCCTAATATCTGATCTAAATCTACCCTCTTTCAACTTAAAATCGTTATTCCTTGTCCTATCACTACACTCCCTGATAGTCCCTCCCCATCTCTCCTGTAGGCACCCTTTAAGTACTGGAAGGCTGCTATAAGGTCTCCTTGGAGCCTTCTTTTCTCCAGGCTGAACAACCCCAGCTCTCTCAGCCTGTTCTCGTATGGGAGGTGCTCCAGCCCTCTGACCATCTTTGTGTCTCTCCTCTGGACTCTCTCCAACAGGTCCATATCTTTCTTATGTCGGGGGCCCTAGAGCTGAACTCAGCACTCCAGGTGGGGTCTCATGAGAGCAGAGTAGAGGGGGAGAATCACCTCCCTCGTCCTGCTGGTCATGCTTCTTTTGATGCAGCCCAGGACACGGTTGGCTTTCTGGGCTTCAAGTGCACACTGCTGGGCCGTGTTAAACTTCAACACCTCCAAGTCCTTCTCTTCATGCCTCAACCCATGTGCAGGACCTTGCACCTGGCCTTGTTGAACATACATGGAAGAAGAGTATTTCTTGGATCTTTTTTCTTAATACACACTTTTGAATGTGCCTGTGCTATTCCTTATAGGAGATATTGGTGGTAGGGATCTTTGTCAGGTTTTCCAAACTCAATTGCTAAAATCTGAAAGGCATTTATCTTCTTCCAGAAAACCTCACTGTGCAAGTGCAAGCGCAATGTCATGGGTGTATGGGGCCTCTCGGCTCCTGCTACAGCCTGCTTTCCTGCCATCCAGAAAATGACAGGTCTTGCAGAATGACAAGAAAGAGGTGTCATTCCCATGAGTGGGCTCTGTCACACCCAGAATGTGCACACACATTGTTCTGCCTTCACTCTGCTGAGGCTGCTGTTACTTCCCTCTCTCTCAGACGCTAGTAGTGTGCATTTACTGCCTACAGTCATGTGTCACTGCCTGATCATTCTCCCATTGCCTTTATTTGCTGGTTGTATCCACTGCACAACCCAGTCAGCAAAGCTCTACTTTTTCATCACTTCCTTACCAATCAACTGTTTACAGATAAAAATTTCTTTCTTTCTCAACGTTTTTAATTTGTCTTTAAAGCGTCATGTCTTTCCTTTCCTCCTTAATCCTTCCTTCCTTTCTGCCTCTACCACTCTCCAATGTTCCATCTGACTCTAATTCACCTTCCTCATTTCATTAATGCTTTTCCTTTGAATAACTTAAGCAACCTATTTCTATGTCTTGCTCCTTCCAGCTAGCTTCTTGGAACTCATAATGCCCAAACACTCATAATTTGCTGAGTATCTGATGAACTGAAGGATCTGAGCAGCAACAATGCATGTTTGGGAGAGGTATAAAACTGAATTTGAGGGAAATGAAGATATAGAAGTTATCATCAATAGCAGAGAAGTTCACAGCAGGCATTTTGTAACACACATTTTATGACCCTCTTCTGAGGGACAGCTTCAGTTTTCTCATGGCATCACATCTAACCCTTCTGTCTTTATTTTCATAGCCATTTGAGCTATCCTGACCTGACTCCAGGTGATACCAGTGTCTGGTTTGGCTATGCTAATTGCCTCAACATCAAACATCTAATATCCAGCTCTCCAGTAAAACTTCATTTTGTCCCGCAAGCGGGTAATGACCCAAACCAAAAGCCAGTAAAAATTTCTGAGTTCTTTCCCAGAACTGCCTTCTTTTGCAATATTTGCACTATAGTACATCCAGTTACTGAGTGATGCATCAGTGAATTTTCATATCTCCTTGTGATTATTAAAGATGCAGACAGGATTCTGGCTTCAAAGGTCAGCCTTGTCACCACCAAAGTCCCTCAGGGGCAGATTTCATTCTCTGATTTGGCTTTTATAGGCAGATTGATCATATAAGATCAGCTCCTGTGGAGGTATTGTTTCTCTGACTGGACCTGTTCAAAACTTCTGCCTCTCTCTTTGGGAGTATAGCTTTTAGTCTCCAGAAAATGAACTTGAAGAAGTGAAAGAAAATTAATGAAGAGAACAGAGGAGGCAGCAGTGCCTGACTTTCTTTTTATAATTATAATATGGGGAATTATATAGAGGAGTCTGGTAAGGAGCCAGCAGAAAGACAGAAGAGCCAGGCTCTTCCCTTACATGTGATGAACTTGAGAGCCCCTCCTTGCCAGTGAAACATGTAGTGGTGCCTGAAGTAGGCACCAGTACTGCCACCTTCAGGACCTACTTTCTCCCTCCTGCATTTTGAGTTTCCAGTACCCAAAATCAATCTTCACATACATCAGCTGCAGCTAAAACCTGAAAATCTGATATTGTTGATACTGTAAACACTGCTGCTGTATAGGAACCCTTTTTATTCTGCAAAGCCTGCATGCCATGCTAGACTGCCAAATGGTTACAACTGTTTTTTCATCATATCACTGGGTTGTAAAGACAGAAAGAGCACCTTAATGAGTCTTCGCTACTGACAGGTTTGTGCAACAACATATGTATTATCCCTTCCATCACATGTTGGCAGAACCTGGCATGGATACATAAGCAGATGCAACAAGTAAGTCTCCTAATAGAAGCTCTCGCCTCATTCACACTGCCAGCAGTGGCTTCTGTCTCTGGATTTAACCAAATAAAACATTTTCCAAATGGTTATTAAGGAGGGAAAAAAAAAAAAGGATGTAGAGAATATAGCCAACCCAACACCTTTCTTCCAAAAGTAGACAATTCACGAGATTTCAGGGAGGTAACCAATACAGGAATCTTGGTAGACTTCAATGCCAGAGCTATATTACCAAATCTGCTGATGTAATTTGAGTATCAAGAAAACTGTCACACATTAGAAGACATTGCTTCATAGGCAAAACCCCAGAGCGATCACAGCCCTATGACAAAAGGGTGCCCTTGATAGCTGGCTCGTGTCAACGATGAAGATGAGTAGCTATGACATGCTAGCTCAGTTTTAAAAATGGATCTCTTAATAAAATCTCCATAACATATTCCTCTCTTTATACCAGTTTTTTTAATTGTATGTATCATTTCTGTAAGTTAGAGGTTATGGCATATTCTAGTATTGCATTTTTTTTGTTATTAATGAAAAAGAAGCATGGTGGAAGACCAATGACTTTGAGCATTTTACCCTGAACCTAATATGCAATAGAGTGCACTAGCTTCTGCAGGATGGACTACAGATGACCTACTGATTTGATTGAATTTAAAATATTTAAGTGTGTAAGAGATTATAAAATATGCCTGATATTCTTGCTTACAGCAGAAAGCATTCCAGAAAAATATGTTGTGGGATAAATATAGAAAAATCATCCAAGGGTGCAAAGGACTTCTGTTCCATGCATTTACTTCCTTCCACACAGAGGAGAAACAGGTTCTACAATATCAGAGCATGGCACATGCTTGTATAAAACATGTCAAGCCAGTGTACCTGAAAAATGTCTTTTGCAAAGGGAATTTCTTAAAAGGAGAGAACTCTTAAAAACTGAAGCTTCTTCAGCATAAGCTGCTTGTATGGGAAATTTTACTTGTATTTTCTGCTGGTAAAATGGGCTGATCTGAGACCCAAAAGCTTGTAAAAACAAAAGCTTGAACCATAAACCACCCTGAGAAGACAACAGATTATTTGTTGAGCCACTGTATTCTTCTAGAATTTAGATGCTAGCTTTTACAGGAAGATGCAAGAGTGAAGACAACTTACTTCAAAGTTTCAGCAAGGAAAAAGCTCTGCTGTACGTCATCATATGTAGGAGATGAGGAATAGACATCTTTGACACCAGAAAAGCCACCACTGACTCGGCAATACTTGTCAATTGCCTGCAAAGAGAAAGGGAAAAGAAAAAAAAAAAAAAGATAATTTAATTGCAGAGCAAGGTCTGGAAACATTAAAGGATCAGGCTTGATCCACAAAGGAGGTAGCTCTTTCCATACTGCATTATTCTGCTGTGAATCTCCTTGTCAGAGGATGCTGTGGATGTTAAAAGCTTACACTGACCAAAAAAAAGAAAAAAAGGGGACTGGACACATAAAGAAATAAAATCCCTCCAGGGCTACTAACGACACCACATTTGGTAAACTGCTAGATGCTAAGAAAGTATTCTGAGGAAGAATACTTTATTTCCTGGGTATTCACTGTTGACTTGTATTGACAGGACATGGACTTGGTAGACTTTTGCCCTGAGCTGGTACAACTCCTCATAGGTAACACTGAGTAGAACATCCATCAGTTAATCAACACAACATGTGCTGTGAGGTGCATAGGAAGATGAGAATCATCCCTGGATATTGCAACTGGAAGAGTCTGAAGAGTTGTAGGAACTCTCTGACTGGTAGATGGTCATAGGGACTCACTGAAAGTAGGAATAAAATTCTGTACTCATCTTTAGGGACTGTTGATTTCCTCTTATAAACTCTTCTAGCTGCTGCTTTCTCCCCACATTTCCATCTCCTATATGTGCTGTTCTCTGTTTCCCCTTTATATAGCTGAAACTCAAGTCAGCTTGTGTGCTGGACTGCAGAGGAGCTCTTTATCTTTAAAGTATGAAGTTTAAATCCATAAACATTCCATGCAGAAAGGGGCCAATGGATCCATGATTCACAAATCACCCAGATAGTCAGCTCCAACACAATACTGCAAAAAGCACAATGGAAGAGGAGGAGACTGGAAATAATGCATTAGTAGCTCAGAGCACCTCTTGCCTATGCTTTCATTATTCCACTCACATGCATGACCTTACAGCACACAAGGATATCAGCCATTAAAACCGGCCCCAAAGAAATGACTGAAATGACTCACAGGTTATTTGTGCTTCCCCACTGCTTTGGCAGTGCTTCCTCAGCAGATACCAATTATTTTAACAGATTCATGTAGGGACAGAAAAGGCATCTGACGAAGGAAAATGTTTGGCTCAGGATGTCTGTCCTTACCAACTACTGAACCTAGCTACCTGTAGTTCAGTAATCTATGATTCAGCCTGTTAGCCTGTATGAAGTTTCCCTCCACGTGGTGCTTTAGGCCCAGATTGTCATTAATTCTGATTTTTGCTAGTTACACTCAACAGAAGCTGAGGGGAGTCAAAGCAGGGGAGCAAATAAGTTTTGAATGATGTCCCTTTTTATGCAGAGAAAACAAATTTAATCAAAATTAACTCTTCAAGGTCCTTACCACAGCCTTTGTGACCTCTGGTGTGGCTCCAAAGCTTGAGCTTATGCCAAGAAAGGTACCACACCTTTACTGGCAAAAATCTAATTCTCTCTGTAATTCCTTATCTCAAGTGCTTTCTCCAAGTTCGGATGGAAATGCTCCCTTTTTTGTTGGGACTTGAGCCTACAGTGAGAAAGCGTCTGCATGAATTCTTTTCAGATCTGGTTACTGGTACAGGGCTACACTGAGACTATTAACATGTTAGGATTTGGGTTGACCAGGTTTTCTCTACAGTCTGAAGAGAAAGGTGTATGTGACACATCTAGCCCAACAGCATCACATGCATGACAATCTCTTTGCAGAACACAACATTGTTTCTGCTCTGGAGTGGGGCAAGATGGAGAAGGGGAAGCTCCAATGGTTACAATCCTGCCAAAATTTCTAGCTTGCAGAGCCTGACCTTGCAGGTGTTCCTCTGGTCAACAGTTCAGCAATCCTGACACTGTATGCCACAGCTTGGACAGGATAACATACTAGTGATTGTGGCAAAATGAAAAACATGGATCGAACAGTACCACTGTTAGGACTCCTTCCTCCTCCAGAATTCAGTGGCCACATGAGACAACCCAGTATGAGTTCCTACTAGGATGTGTTGTGGCAGATGCACACACAGGGATACTAAACAGTAGCACGGATATATTTAGTACCAGGGATATTTTACCTTTGCAAAGGGCTGTGGGTAAAGTCAAAACTTTACCACCCCTAGGCTCATCTGTAGTGGGCCTGGTTCTTCCCCCTTCCCCCTTCAAACCTAGTTTAAAGGCCTCTCGATGAGCCCTGCCAGCTTAGGAGCAAGAATCCTTTTCCCTCTTTGAGGCAGGTGAACTCCATCTGTCGCTAGCAGGCCTCGTGCCACGTAATCCTCCCTATGGTCAAAAACCCCAAAATTGCACCTCTGGCACCAGCCTCTGAGCCAGGTGTTGATCAGGTGTGTTCTCAGTGTCCTCTCAGTATCCATCCCTGCCACTGTGGGGATTGAGGAGAACACTACCTGTGCTCCTGATCCTCTCATCGATCGCCCCAGTGCCCTGAAGTCCCTTTTAATTGCTTTTGTAGTTCTCTCTGAAACCTCATGGCTTCCAACCTGCATGACCAACAGTGGGCAGTGATCAGAGGCCGTAACAGACCAGGGAGCTTCCTGGCGACATCTCTAACCCGGGCCCCAGGGAGGCAGCAGACTTCCCTGTGTAAAGGGTCTGGTCGACATGTTGGGCCCCTGTTCCCCTCAGGAGGGAATCGCCAATGACAATTACCTCTTTCTTAACAGAGGTAATTGCAATGCATGGGGCCGACTGTCTCAGCTGAGGCGACCCCCTGGATGGACCTTCATCTTCCTCTTTATTTTCCTGGCCCTCCAGTTCCAGAGCCCCATATCTATTGTGTAAGGGCAATAGGGAGGGAGAGGAAGGTCGGGAGGGAATTTGTCTGCCCCCCTGGGGAATTCCATTCCCCACCTTCTCTTAGGGCCCTTCCTTCAGCCTGCTGGCAAGAGGGGTGCTTCTTGGGGAGCCTCTGTCTCCTGCCTTTGCCTCAGGGATGGTAGGGTGTGGCTCCACCAATCTATCTCCTGCTCACGCTCCCTGATACTCCTCCATCTTGCCACCTCCTCCTGCAGCTCAGCCACCCATCCCTACCCCAGGAGGAAAGCCTAGGCACATCCCACAGACCAAGGTCTGTACGGTAGCCTGTACTATAATTACAGTAATATATACAAATATACCACTATACAAATGAGTGATGCACACCTCAGGTGCTCACCACCTGATGACCAAGGCTCAGCCTGTTCCCAGCTAACAATCCCAGAGCAGAGAGAGTCCCAAAACCCTAATCCCAGAAAAGAGATAAGAGCCCAAGTATCTGGGATATGAGAGCCAACTGAGAGAGTGAGACAACCCTGAGAAAGGGGTGACCCAGAAAGAGGGCCAACTTCCAGAGAGACCCTGATCTATATACTGGGCATGACGTGCATGACATGGAATATACTATTGGCTAATTTGGGTCTCAATCCTAAATCTAAGGTTCAATCCTAGGCTAGCAATTGGGGCTGCGCTCCCTCCTAGCTTCTCCTGCACCTGCAGTCCTTAAGGGTTTTGGTGGCAACTATAAACATCAGTATGTTCTCAGCACAAATCCAAAACATAGCCTCACACTAGCTACTCCATCCCAGCTGAAACCAGGACACGTGTAAAGACTCTTAGAATGAATCTGTGTTTCTGTCGATCATTACAAGCATTTCCAATGAGAAAGACTCAGAAGCATTGTCACACTTGGGAATTTGATTAAAACATATAACAACTAGATTTAAATCCAGAAGAGCAGTTATACAAAAAAAGCAACAACCTCTAAAATACCTTAGCAACAATTTTTAAGTTCTGCCTGATGTGCCATTAGTTGCTCACTTCCCTTTATAGTCTATTTCTAATCATGTAATTTTTCTTTATAATTAAGTAAATCTAAACTGACTGGCAAATTTTTTTCCTTCCACTCAGACAACTAAGAAAAGAAACAGCCATTATACCAACCCACATACATGTACATACGTGCTCTCTAGTCTACAAACCATCTGAGAACAGTTGTCTTACCACTTGTGTTTAATAGCTGACCAGAAGAAACTATAAGAATAGATTTGTCTTTTAATCTAAATTGAGTGCTAATACATGCTTAACAAAGTTATTTATAATACACTTTCATTTCCCAGGATAAATTACCTCTCCTGGGGGCTGCAGACTACTGGTAACAGTAGGAGTCATGATCAGTGTGTTCTATTTCCATGCCTAAAACTCATCAGCTGTACAATGCTGAACACATCTCTCATCTGTGCATCTGTTTCAGAAGTTGCAAACCAGGAATAACTGTGCGCAACCCCATATGTACCCTGGTTTAAAAGAACTTGTGAAAATCAATTGCTGTTTGAAGTGTTCCAGTACCACAGGATGCAAGTGGCTACAAAAGGAAAATACATAGAATTAATTTACTGAGAGATAATGAATACAGTTACCTGTGTTGCCTCCCAGCCCCACTGCCTGTACTTGGGATCATGGGTGAATCTCCACATATACCAGTAGGTCTCAATCACCTCTGGTCTGAGGATGTAATACTTCTCATTTTGCCGCACTGCCACCGCCTCTACGCCACCATCAAATTTGAATGCTTCTGGACCCAGCTTTAATGCTGCAGAGGAAAAAAAGAAAGAAAGAAAAAAAAAATTCCTTACCAATCTTTGCAGGAAAGGTGGCTAGGAGACCTCTATATCCCCAAGCATGTGAGAACAGGAGAAACTAGTTGGCCTTTAAGCAGCCTCATAAATATTTCCTGGTTTTGAGGCCTATAATTTTTGTTATGAATAATTTAGCCAGTTTCTGTGAGAAAACTACCTTTCTTGACAGGAGTACAGGAATCCTCCTGAAAACTAATGAAATGCTAAGAATACAAATACATTAACACGTTCAATTGTAGGATAAAACTAAAGTGACCGACATCAGCTCTTGACAAGCAAAAGGGGAAAAAAAAAAAAAAGGGTCAGCAGAGGTTTTGATGCCATTTGATCCCACCCAGCACAGCAGGAAAAGATCCACACCTGAAAATAAATCTCTGAACTAAGAGATTCACTATTTCAGCCTTCAAAGGAAGCTGTAATGGCCTTGTGCCAGCATCTGGAAAACTATTCATATAAGAAGGAGGTACCTGTAGAAAAACTGTCTATAATATGAAGATGCAATTACATATTTTTTATTATACAGTTACACATTATTCTTCAAATTTGACATAAATAATGCACTCTTATCTACAGCTGCACCCCACCTTTTGCTTTGGCAGAGAATTTTTAAGGCACTGAACTCTGAAGCTGCACTCGAGCTTTAAAAATTATCAAAGCAATTAATCATGTAATTCCTATGGGCTAGAGGTTTAAATTAACCATGGTCTCATGAGTCTGAAAGGGGAACCTTAGAATACTATGATGAAAATTATGAGCACCTCCCAGTGAGTGCCCCAGCAGAAAATCTCAAAAAAAAAAAAAAAAGTTCTTTAATCTTTTTGTTTCAAGGAAGTACAGCTCTGGATGCCAACAGAAAAAAAGCACCACTCTCTGCTTCAGCCACACGCATGGTAAGGAATACTCCACCAAGAAATGTTTATGGTACTTTTTTCAAAATGGACCATATTACCTGTTTCAAAAAATTTACAAATTTTACTGCAAAATCAATGAGCTTAGATACAGAGTTCTACCCATCCAAAATTAAGAAGATAAGAATAGCCATACTGGATCAGCTGGAAGTTCTGTCTGGTCCAGTATCATGTCTCCAACAATGGCCAAAATCAGACAAAGATGGGGACAAGGAAGAACAGGCCAAATATATGAGATAGCTTTTTCCAGCTTCTCTACCAGTCTCCAATTTTTTTGAGCTCAAGGCTTCTCCCAGACTAGACATACACTTTTATCTTGTTAGTAGGTCTCAATAGCTTTATTTCCCAAGTACTTACCCTGGTTTTTCCTTAAACCAGAGTAAGCCTTAAGCATCCAAAACAACCTCTGCTAAGGAGTTTCACATCTCTAATACTTGTTTTGTTCTTTTCCATTTTCAGATGGGATTCCTGATTCCTCCTGATTCTTTCCAGTCCCCCAGTGATTTTGCAAGTCTGTTGTATCCTACCTAAAATGTCCCTTTTCCACACTGAAGAACACTATCTGAATTCAGTTATTCTTTGAATGGAAACTGTTCCATACCTTTAGCTTTCCTTCTAGCTTTTCTCTGCAACTCTTTCAATTCTACTGTGTCCGTTGTGAAATGACTAGCCTGAATACAGCACTAAAAGTGTGGACAAGATTAATACAGTGACATAATGACACTTTCATTTTGCTCTTTCTGACTTTGTTTTTCCTGGCTGCTACTGAGCTGACATTTTCATAATCTCAAGAGCAATTTCCTGAGTTGTAATGGTCAGTTAAGAACTCATAATTTTATATGTGAGGTTAAGAATAATTTTTTTCATAGGAGCCTTACTTTAAACTACACTGAATTTAGTTCAGTAATTTATTAGGCAATTACTCAACCTCATAAGGTCCTTGTGCAATTTTTCAGTTTTATTTCATCCTTGCTATCTTGAACAGCTTTTTTTTTTTTTTTTTATTATCAACACACTTACCTTACTGTTCCTGCCCATTTTCTGATCATTTATATAGGATATATACACATATTAAAATATTACATGTAAATATACTATACATGTGTATAAATATATATCAAATATATCAGAGTACCACTTGTCCATTGCAAGAGATGACTATTTACCTCTACTCTATTTGTTATACTCCATTTTTTTTTCCCCCATGCAGGTACTTGCTGCTTATGCTGTAGCTACTTGATATCCTTAAAGGGTCTTAGTAAAAAACTTTTGAAAAAGCCTTTGGAAATCAGGTAAACCATGTCAGCTCTATCAGTCTTATTCATGAAAGAAGCTGGATTTCAGGCAGTTCTGGTGATGCATCACCTACAGAAACTGTGACACCTTCTCTTGCTTTGTAGTCTGCTGATCCATTCAAACTGTAATGATTTACTCATATCTACTTCTAACGTTATTAGGCACTCCAAGAAATTATACCACCCAGAGGACAGCTGATCTCTGCAGATTTTGACAATCTCACTGAATTTTTATCTGAAACCAAGCATGTAAAATTAATCACAGCACTTCTACTACTGGCTGACTAAAGTAAAGAAGCTACTATGAACACAGTACTTTTCAGGGGAGAATTCTTCTAAGCAAAGAACCATCTAAGGCCATTTTACAATGATAGGTCACATTTTAATCCAGCTATGTTAGTATTAATGGGGCTCATAGGCTATATTTCTAGTCAGGAAGAACAGATCAGAAACAATTTCACACCATAGTGCAAAACTGCAAAGCCGAACGAGTACCATTTTAGAAGAGATTTTAACTGATTTAAAGTTGACTTCAATGAGAACTGTATTTAGTACTGCTGAAAATAAGGGCAAATCCTCAGACTCCTAGATACATATTTATATTTCTAATTTTAGAAATAATTTTGAAAACATGGCTTAATTTTCTGTGTGTTCCTTTAAGACTAGCAGCAAATTTCCTGGAGGTAAGAAAAGATTCATAATTATAATACTACTTTCTAGGTTCTAACTCACATAAACTTGGAGGAAGACACCCTTCAAGACACTTTTGTTTGAGACTTTCTGAACCATTCCATCAACATACCTTGTTATTTTACACCTATGAAAAAGAGTAATTATTCCTATCATCTTTGCCTGTTTAGCTGCTTACAGAGTCTTGGGAGAGAAATAGCATCTACTCATACCCTTACAATGCCTCTGCTGAACTCTTGGTCATCTGGTTTATTCTGTGTTGGAATTGTCACAACAGCTAACGGTTTATCCAGATACTGAGGACAGTTCTTGTCAGAAACTTTAAAGACATGCAAAAAAATTCATTCTGAAATAATCTGTCTGTAATCAGTCAATACTGTACATAATATCAGCTAATGTGTGGGAAAATTCTTATGCATAAAGGACAGTATATTTTACTAAAAATACTCTGTGCTATAAATCAGCAAATACTGCCATCTATGTGGATAATTTTGTTTATTAATCTAACCTTGACAATACCTATGAAAGGTAATTATTCTGATTCATTTGTTAGTGGTCTTTCTGTTCTTTCAGTTTCATTGGACATCTTTTTTCGTTACCACTTATGGATTTCGCATTACCAGTTACTTTATGCCTTTGCTGTGTTTCTCAGTGGTGCATGTTAAGCATGTAAAACAAAGAACTAATCCCCAGCAACAGGAATACTTCAAGATGTGCAGTCCACACACAAGCTTAAACGTTGAAAAACCTTGCACTATGAGCACATGAAGCTGTATTCTTTTAGCCTTTCCAGTGCCCACTGACAGCGTAATGACTCCTTGTGCTGTGCCAGTACATGGGCATACAGATCAGAGCATGCCTTCTATCTCTGGTTCTCTGAATCTTCTCTTCAAATCAAAAGCACACTGGTCTACAGAAAAATCTTGAAATCTCCTGTCACAGGATGGGAGATTTGGGATGACTGCAGCAATAACCTATCAATAGGTTATGGTACAGAAAAAGCAGAGTAGGTAGGAAGCAGAGGCATGCATACTTTACATATCAAAAGACTATTCTGGTTACAATTAAGTTTTCTGACTTTGACAGTCAATAAGCCCTTTCAAATCACTGGTGTTTCCAAGGGGTGCCACATGTATTCACAATTTCCTGAAGAGAGGAAAAACCTCAGGTGTCTCACTCCAGCAAGTTCAATGGATCCTGGAAACAGATCTCCCTTGCTCAGAGGCAGAACAGAATTATGTCTTCACCTTTCAAAGACCATAATCTTCCTCTAGCTGGTGAATTAGAAGGGCATCCCCCAGGGTATGCTAGGCTGATCCTCAGCTTAAGCAGAGTCTTCAGGGATTTTCACAGAGCCATGGCAAGGGCTTGAGCTCAAGAGATCTCCAGTCACTTGCCTAGCCTATGACTCAGGAGTTTGAGGTCTTTTCTCAGATATTCCTGGAGAACACCAATGGGTGAATCAGATTATCAGAAAGACTGTGTCCCTGCATAAACCTCTCATTGATTACATGGCAGTGATGCCAGTTGTCATTAGAAGATAATGCCCATGGAAATACACCTGGAATGGTTGCAAGGACTTCCCAGCTTCTCTGTATTAATCACCACTGTGGAGCAGACAGCATCGTGAGAGATGACAGAATTATCATAGAACGGCCTGGGTTGAAAAGGACCATAGTGATCATCTAGTTTCAACCCCCCCGCCATACGCAGGGCTGCCAACCACTAGACACGGCTGCCCAGGGCCCCATCCAGCCAGCTTCTCCGTATTAATCACCACTGTGGAGGAGACAGCATCGTGAGAGATGACAGAATTAAGTGCTGACAGAATGCAATCTGGTGGGAAAGGGAATAGAAAGGATGTAGCAACATCTAGACAAGTTAAGGCAAAACTTGTAAGAAGCCGAATAGGAGAAGGCTGTCACATGTAGGCAGACCACCTTACATTTGGACAATGAGACTTGGGCCTGATGTGAGAAAACAGTGTGGGTAGGATAGCAACATTTTCTCAGGGGTAGATCTGGAAGACTTGCTCCCAAAAAACAGCAGGGTGTTGACTCAGTTTAATTGTCCAAAGCTAAAAAGCCGTAAGCTAACCTGAAGGGAATTATTAACCCGCTTTAAATTACTCAGTCAATTTGGTAATAAAAGCAGCTATTTTCACCCAAGACCCTCTTCATAGGGAGGTCTGCTGCCTCCCTGGGGGCTGGGTAAAGGACACTGCTAGGAAACTTCCTAGCTTGGTGAGGCCCTCAGACTACTACCCCCTACTACTCTTCCATGTGGGTAGAGATGAAACTGCAACGCATAGTCCTAGGGCAAACAAAAGAGATTTCAAGGCCTTGGGACAGTTAGTAAAGGAATTGGGAGCAAAAGCTATCTTCTCTTCTATTCTTCCACTTGTGGGCAATGACATAGATAGAGAAAAATGTGTGCAGTCTGTTAACATGTGGCTCTGTGTCACCGCCACAATTTTGGGTTTTATTGACAATGGGAAGGCCTTCACTGCATCAGGCTTGCTAGCTTCAGATGGGTTCCACGTGTCCCAAAAGGGGAAGAGGGTCTTTGCCCATGGACTAGCAGGGATCATAAGAAGAGCTTTAGACTAGATTGGAAGGGGGAGGGGATAATATCAGGCTTGCACACAACAAGATGTGAGAGGACAAGCCAAGGTTAGAGGGACAGGG